GTTTGATTTGCCTGGGATTTCTCTGCTTTCGCCGGGACATGATCAGTTCCTGCCAGCTGTTGCTATTGAGAGGAATCGACAGCCGTTACATAGAGAGGTGTGTCGATGGGGAGCCAGCTCAGGTAGAGAGGGGACGGATGCACAGAGGCACGCGCGCACACACACTGACAGACGAGAGTGCACAAATAGCCGCAACAATGCTGCTGCTCCTGTCTCTCTGTTTCAGTGCTTCTTCTGTACGCTCATCCCTTAGAGCGCTTGCGTTCAGCTCGCTGCTGTTGGCGCCGCTGCCGCTTCACACTCTCTCCTCTCAACTCGCAAAACTGTGTATTCCTTCCACCCCCAACTGCTGCTATTCTATCCCTCCTCCTTTCGGCGGGGTCCGGCCCACTGCCAGTGGCCCTCCCCTCCTCCTCCTCCTGCTCACTGCTCTCCCTGATGCTGCTTTCCCACTGCCATGTGCGCCATGCTGAGCCTCGGTCTCAACCGCCGCGTCCCAGACATTGAGCAAGGGGAGCGCGGGTATGGGAGCCCGGCTGGTGGAGTGAAGGGGATTTGACTCCTGTTATCGTGCCAATTCTTAAAGGGAACCCACAGCGCTGCTTCGGCCCAGGACACACACATATATAGTGTTAAGAGGGCTTGCCCATAAGTAGTCTGTCCAAGGGATCTTGCAATGGAAATATGGTTTTCAGTAAGACAGCAAAGCAAAACTTTGAAAACGGAACAGTAGTGGCACTGCCAGTAAGTTTTTGAAAGATTTTTTTTTATATCACCAAGACATCTTAGCTTTCGAACATATTGAAAAACATCTTGTGTAAAGCATAACAGGCGAAGAAAGTTGATTTGCAAGAAATATACAAAAGTCCCTATTTTATCCACTGGTAACTAATTTCTCAGTGCATTAGATGGTGCGATGTACATTACAAAAGCAGATTGAGAAATTACATCGTTTAGTCACTGCGTCGAATTACACAAATTACTGCATGGAAAGTGGCCTTTCTGGCCAACTTATCGCTTTGCACCAACTTAATATTTCATTTCATCCTATCAACATTTTGTTCCATTTACTCTTCTCCTCCGTGCACTTAGCTAGGTTTCCTTGTACGCATCAATGCGATAGATAGGCCAGATTTTGCTGGAGTGCCGTTTTAGATAAACCAACAATTGCAAATTAGGGTTAAAACAACTGTATCGACAAAATCCCTGGAATTGCCAATGGGGCGGATGCGGGTACAAAGACAACGTTTAAAAGACATTTGGATAGGTACATGAATAGGAAAATATTTGGCGGGATATGAAATATTTGTATTTTTCAGGGTGAAAATAACATTAAATCTTATAAAAACAGCACTCATTATCGGATTAAGAGATAAAAAGGTATAGAGCTGGATGAACACAGCAGGCCAAATAGCATTAGAGGGCCAGGAAAACTGACGTTTCGGGTCTGGACCCTTCTTCAGAAATCTGGACCTTTCTTCAGAAATTTCTGAAGAAGGGTCCAGATCCGAAACGTCAGCTTTCCTGCTCATCTGATGCTGCTTGGCCTGCTGTGTTCATCCAGCTCTACACCTTGTTATCTCAGATTCTCCAGCATCGGCAGTTCTTACTAGCTATCTCTCTCTCATTGTCAGATTGCTGCTTTCACACCTGTTATACCCTGCATTTTGGGGCATAGCATCTGATGCTTGGGCCCTCAGAAATGCCTATTGTGTATTTAATCAGGCTGAATCCTCCTAATAAAGGACAGTCAAGGGAAACCAAGCCATGTCACCTTTTTTTTTACAGCAGTAGCAGCAGTATTCTGTGTGGAGTTTGCACATTCTCCCCGTGTCTGCGTGGGTTTCCTCCAGGTGCTCCGGCTTCCTCCTACCGTCCAAGGATGTGCAGGTTAGGTGGATTGGCCATGCTAAATTGCCCTAGTGTTCAGGGATGTGTAGATTAGGTGGATTATAGGGGGATCAGTCTGGGTGAGATGCTCGGAGGTTCGGCGTGGACTTGTTGGGCCGAAGGGCCTGTTTCCACATTGTAGGGATTCTATGGTTCTATTTTATTGAGTTTATTGACTAAGTAATTCCCACTGAACAGCTGTGGAAAACTAAAATTTTCAGTACGTTCATGATTGGGTTTACAGGGTTCAGGGAGTGAAGTAGGTAAATGGGTAGAGACAGAGTGCATAGGTTTATTGGGTCATTTAAGTGACTCTTCGATAGGCACATGGATGATAGTAAAATAAAGGGTATGCATGTCATTTTGGTCTTAGAGTAGGATGATAGGGTGGCACAATATTGTGGGTCAAAGGGCCTGTACTAAGCTGTACTATTCTATGTTCTATGGGTCAGCGATAAATTGTGTCACATCTTGGCAGGGAAGGACGAGGAGCTAGGTCCAGTGGAGGATAGACCTAAGTTGGATTGGATCCAAGGAGGGAAGAAGTCACGTCTGGAGCAAGTGGTGGAAGAGGAAGGGGAGGATGTGAAAGGCAGAGAGGGAAGAATTGAGTCCAGAGGGTGGAAAGGTGGAATGTCAGGTTCTAAAAGAGGGCCTGGGTAATTGGGTCAGATATCTGCGAGTGAGAGGATCAGTTTTAGTTTGCCAGAGTTTATAGCAGGCTTAATAGTTAGCACTGCTGCCTCACAGTGCCACAGATCCAGGTTTGATTCCAGCCTTGGATGACTGTCTGTGCGGTGTTTGCACATTCTCCCTGTGTCTGCGTGGGTTTCTTCTGGTTTCCTGCCACAGTCCAGAGATGTGCAGGTTAGGTGGATTTGCCATGGGAAATGATGGGTTATAGGGATAGGGTGGGTCTGGGTGTGATACTCTTTGGAGGGTTGGTGGGCTGAATGTCCTGCTTCCACACTGTAGGGATTCTATGATTTCGCTGTTTTGAGCCCTCAGTATCTGACATAAGTATTTCTTTTTCTCTTAGTCTAATGCTGTACCTTCCTTGATATACAGGATTTGACGGTCTCCTCTTGTTTTCCATTGGAACATATTGGCCATGTGCTTCACATATTTCCTTTATGAATGTCTCCCACTGCTCTGAGACAGATTTAACTGAAAGTATTTGCTATTAGCTCACCTGGGCAAATTATGTCTGTTATTATTAAAATTAGCCTTCCCTAGTTGAGAACTTTAATTTCAGGCCCATCCTTTTCCATAACAATTCTGAATCTAGCTCAGTTATGATCACTGTTTGCAAAATGTTCCCCATTTAAATTTCAACCATTAGCCCAACTTCATACTAATATTAAATCCAGAACTATACCCTGTCTTGTAGGCCCTTCCACGGACTGGCTTAAAAAATTGTCCTGGAAGCACTTTAAGACTTCTGCTCCCTCCAAACATTTCACACAATGAATACTGCATTTAATATTAGCGAAGTTGAAATCCCCCACTATCTCTATGCTTTTATGTTAACACTTCCCTGAAACTTGCCTATATCTGCTGTTCTATTTTTCTCAGACTGTTAGGATGTGTATAGTACACTCCCAGCAATGTGCTAGTTACTTTTTACTTTTTAAGTTCTGCCCATATGGTGTCATTTGAGGTGTCTTCCAAGATGTCATCCCCGCTTACAACTGTAATAGATTCCCTGATCAAAATTGTGATACTGCTTCTTATTTTATCTCCTTCCCTGTCTTACTTGAATACTATCCTGGAATACCGAGCTGCCAATGCTGCCTGTTTCTCAACCATGTCACAATGACTGCAATGACCTCATACCCCATGTTTTAATCTATGCCCTCAACTCCTCTGCCTGTTTGTTCGACTCCTAGCATTCAAATAAATGCTATCCAACCTTCCCAAATTCACTTGGGTGTATAATGGCTGTGCCTTCCTGACTCATTTCTAATTTTGCCCTTTCATCATCCACTGCTGAATGTCTCGGGATCCCACTCCTCCGGGATGCTGGCCTCATTCTGGTTCAGATACAACCCATCTGCCTTGTACAGGTTCCACCATCCCCACAAACAGTTCTAGTGTCCCAGAAATTTAATGTCTTTCCTCCTGCACCATTCCTCCAGCCTAGCATTCATCTGGATTAACCTCCATTCCTACACTTTCTCAGCGTAGCACTGGAAGTAATCGAGCAATTACTACGCTTTGGGCCCCGTTTTTTAATCTACTTTACAACTCATTAAATTCTGCTTTCAGGATCTCATTCTTTTTGCTACATATGTCATGGCTACCAACATGTACCACAATCACTCTCTGTTTGCCCTTCCCCTTCAGAATGCCCCATAGCTATTCAGTTACATCCCTGACCTTGGCACCATGGAGGCAACACATCATCCTGAAGTCTCTCCTATGGCCACACAAATGCCTGTCTGTTCCCCTTACAATTGAATCCCCTACTAATGTAGTCCTGCCATTCTTTTTCTCTGTGCAGTAGACTCACCCATGAAGTTGGCTGTCACTGCTTTCCCATGCACACAGTCATCTCCACGAACAGTACCCACACTGTATCTGTTAGTAAGAAGAATGGCCACAGGGCACTCCTGCACTACCTGCATTCCTGTATTTTGCATTTTAATCACTCATGCCCTTTCTGCCTGTTCAATTTGCACCTGTATATGATCACCTCACAAAACTTGCTCAGCATTGCAAATGCTCCACATTGAATTCACCTGCAACTCCAGCTCCAAAATGTGGTTCATTAGTAGTTGTAGCTGCACACACTTCCTGCACACGTGGTCATGAGGGACAACTGTAGCTCCCTGATTTTTCACATGGCACACGAGGAGCATATCATGGGTGTGAGCTCTGCTGCCCTGCCTTTTATAAGTCCCGGAGTAACTCTTTTAAAATAACAGTGTTTTCCTTACTCTACTTTGTTTACTTATAATCCTTTCTTATATTGACGATGTCTTTCACTTATTCCTGTTGTTTCTCAGTTAATCCCTTCTTCCAAAAAGTACATTCTTTTTCTTAAATCACAAACCAATCACACCATTTTCCCGTGATGTCACTGTTTTGATTTCTTTTCCCAACCAGCAGACTCCTGAAGCTGCAGCCGTTAAACTAGGATTTGCTTTTCTCCGCTCAGCTGAAGCTAAATGATATAGCCACACACCTAAACCCTAAAACAAAGACCTTACAAACTATGAACAAAAAATGCACCTCTTCCTCTGTGCACTGAACTTCCATGGTACACTAAATTTCCAGTACCACACACTCACTTGTCGATACAAAACTCTAGATGTGTCTTCTCCCAAATGCTTGTATGAAGCATGTTGGTCATGTGCTTTAACAGTCTCTT